TATTTTACCCGCTGTATGAAGAAGCAGACAACCACTGGTTGTGGTGTGGCAAATGATTTCATGTTTTTTTTTTTTAAATCAGCAACACAAACTCTGGTTTTGTCTCTTCCCCTGCAACAAAATAAAAACAAGAAATAATTTGACTCAAATTTCCTCACTGCGTTGACTTCTTTTTCTTAAACTTGCAGGTCAATTTTACTGACAATACAGCCACTAGCAAATCAGCTTTCATTCAATTTGCTGTCCACAGAAGTTCTCTTTTCTGTTKTTTTTATTTGGAGGCAAGATCATAAAACGCTTGAAACATTCATTGGTTTTGGTTGTTTCTGCTTTTACTAATTTAGTTGATACCAAACTTGACCACTAGAGGGCTCTAGAGTACCACCACTGATGCTTGTACTGCACTAAAAACAATGGGCCTCAGGCAAGAACTGTTTGTACAAACAGATTTGATCTAAAGTTGTGTTTTCGAATGATTTAGGAGAACTTATGGCATTCACCAATTTTCTCGTATTTTAAGACTTTTCAGATATGAACAAAATTCACATGTGGTCCAGACCTGTCCTATATTTTACATGCAGTCAGTCTGCTGTTACCCAGATTGATTTTCTTCACTAATAACTTTATATTTCATTATTTTGAAGATATTTTGAGATGAAAATAAAAACACACCCCATAATTATGTTGACAAGAGGCTATTCTGTTTGAAATGGAATTATAATTTTAAATGTATTAATGTAGCCTAACGATATATGCATATATAAATGGCTATTAATGCTTTAAACACTACAATATTAATGTGAAGATCTCAAACAACAAACCAATGTAAACCATGCATTAGTTTAAGTTTAATTTGTCTTGGTATAATGAGGTCAATGAGAAGTGAACATAACAGCTTTATTTAGATCAGGGGTGCCCAAACTTTTTCTCCAAGAGGGCCAAAATGAAAATCTATCCAGGGCTGCGGGCCAATTTTTTTACTTTTTAAGTAAAGTTTTATGTTTTAACATTAAAGCTAGCAGCTAGTGCAACGGCCCGCTTTTGTTTTAGTTTGCACTTGTAGAAAGTCTGCCGCACGGGACATTTTATAAATTGATAAAATAATTTTGTGGCCTTATGAAGTGTGCAAATCGATGTGTGGCTAAATCTAATCTAAATATCTCGTTACTTGCATTTCAGGTCTTAATATATCAAAGAGAGAGAGTCAGCACCATGAGTGAAAACTATCTGCACTACAGCCCCTTCTAGTCATTAATAGATGAAATGACTAAGTGGAAATACTGTTTCTACATTAGATGACAGGTTACAACCTAGTAACTACTGCAGGTGGGTCAAAGCAAATGGCACGGCGGACCAAATTTGGCCTGTGGGCCACCTTGGGCTCCTCTGATTTAGACATAGATTGGTGTTTTTTTTTTTTTTTATCAAATTGTATTTTGTTGAGATTTATATGCACATCAGTTATGCAAGACTGTCTGCTACATTCTCCAAAGTGCCAGACATATTTTTGGAGACATTTTAAAAAGCTTTCTTGATTCTTCAGAATCCGAACCACACCTGACATCACTTGTGTG